CTCCCTCTACCCCTTCCTCCCCTCTCCCTCTACCCCTTCCTCCCCTCTCCCTCTACCCCTTCCTCCCCTCTCCCTCTACCCCCCCTTCCTCCCCTCCTCCCCTACCCCTTCCTCCCCTCACCCTCTACCTCTTCCTCCCCTCTCCCTCTACCTCTTCCTTCCCTCACCCTCTACCTCTTCCTTCCCTCTCCCTGTGCCCCTTCCCCCTCCCTCTTTCCCTTCCTCCCGCTCCACCATGGGTTGAGAACTGACAATAAACACGTACGAATAACAAGGGATGATGAAAGGCTATTTGAAAATTATACATCATCAAAGTTCACAACCAAAGTTACTCCACAACCACATGAAAAAAAAAAGAAAACTGTACAGGAGTAAGTGTTAAGGGTGAAGGAGGTGGATGAAACACTGACGAACAATGAGGGGAAAGTATGCCAAGAGCTTCGTAAAAATAAAATTCAAAGAGTTCTTTACAGAAGAAAATGGCGCGTTAGTAGATGGCGCTGTAGTCAAGACCAGATCAACAGGTGCTTAGAAAAACATCAGCACAACAAGTGGTGATGAGACTACCAAGTGAACTGGATGTAACAAAAGCAATGTGACCAGATAACATGTCTCCATGAGTGCTAAGCAGAACCACCAAGGAGACAACAACAAAGTTATACAACCACTCTCTCTCCAAAGACAACAACAAAGTTATGCAATTCCCCAATCAGGACAACTGGAAGAAAACCGGAAAAAAAGGTAAATTTGGACATGCATATAAAAAGAGGTGACAATCAAGAAACACTGAATTACTAGCCAGTATCTCTAACTTGCACACACTCAAAAATTATGGATAAGATAGTAAGGAAGAGGATATATGGGACACTTGGAGTGAAGAGTTAAAAAAAAAAAACACCTAGCACTGATGGACAATTTTGCCTTTCGAAGTTGCGGGAATTCTGAGACTCAAAGAAACTTAAAACAATAAAGAGAAGGTTGGGGGAACTGAATCTTGGACTGCAGGAAAACATTTGATACAGTACCACAACAGAGATTAGTCCAAAAATTAGAGGAACAGACTAGGATGAAAGAGAGTACTTCAGTGGGTCAGAGAGGACCTAAATAGCAGGCAGAGTAACAGTAAAAGTTGACACCATTAGAGTGGGAGAACAGCAAGTAGGGCTCTGTTCCTATATACCTGAATGACCTATCAGAGGGAACTGAGTCCTATGTGCCACTGTTAGGCCATTCATCAAGTACAAGGCCCCAGCATGGTACCCACACCTGGTGAAGCATGCGAAGACACCCCTTCCCCTTCCCCTTCCCCTTCCCCCCCTCCAAAAAAAAATGCGGAGGTTGGCAACTAAGCCAGTACAAAGCGAAAAAAAATGTATATCGCAATCAGATCCAACTGTCTTCAACAAGAGTCAAGGAGGAGCTCGTCAAGACTTCTCTCTACACCTAATACTGACAACACCTTCGTCACGTTCAGAAATAAAGTTAGAAACACTCATTTCAACATAAAAATAAGTAATCTACACTTAGAAAGTCAAGAGAAGAAAAGTTCTAAATATATTCCTTGGCTGCACCTGAAATTCAATAATCACATCAATCAAATATCTAAAAACAATAAAAACCTGTGGGCATTCTATTAAAAATACGATGTTTCACAAATACTACCACTTCTACTGCACTACTCCCTACTTACCTATCTGAGCTTGGGGATATACTACAGCTATGACCTACAACAATCAGCTGTTACTCAACAATTAGCTGTTACTCAACAATCAGCTGTTATAATAAACACGCAGTCAGGTTCCAGACAACACAAACCCCCCACAATTCAAGTCTTAATTTACACAACATATAACATAAACACACACTACTGTGTGTTTTATATATACAGGACACTTCAAACTAACTTCAACCCAGCGTTTTACATCTCTTTGATATACCACGTCTATGACCCAGCTTATATAGAAACTCCATGCAAATAAAGGGCCCTAAAATTTGAAACTCCTTTTCAGAAGATGTGAAAAGTGACCCTTCAGTCACCTGTTGTAGAAATGCAGTTAAGAAGGAAGTGCTCACCCTGACTTAAACACTGCTTAAGTTGTTGATAATGGCATAAAACACTGACAAGTTGAATATTAAGAGAGTTGGGTATCTTTATTGATGAAACGTTTCGCCTACACAGCAGGCTTCTTTAGTTAAATACAAAGGGAGCAGCAGGAATTAAATAAAGATGTAATCAGTCCATCAACCTTGGGGTTGATCACCTGGGGGTGAAGACTATAGCATTCTAGTACACTAACCTAATTAAATAATTGTTCAGTAGCTGAAAGTTAATTTAAAAACTTCCTGAAGTGTTCTGTATAAGAAGGAACTTTCAAGAGTTTATAGGTGACGGTTAATGCTCTTGATGAGAAGGATGAGGGAAGACATGATCATGACATACAAAATCTTAAGGGAGGAATTGATACGGGAGAGAGGGCCTGAATTTATAAACCAGGATCAAGAGGACACATGTGGAAGATGAAGACAATAAGTGACGTCGGTCAAAGTAATCCAGGAGGCGGGGCCAGGAGAAGTGTCTCAATCCCCCACAAACACAACTCGGCGAGTGAAACTGTGCGAGTATACACACACAATAAATGGTTGCACCAGCGTGGGCCATCGCTGTCCCAGGATCAATGGTGCCAAAATAATGGCTCGATTAAGTTGTCACAGTGATCAGGTGAATATATCATGTGTGCTCACACACCCAGATAATCATTTAATACAAGCAATGTGTCTCCCTACACAGCTCCGGGGGTCGCTCCCCTCCAACACACATCTACGGGGGTCCTACACCCCCACCACAACTCCGGGGGGACCTACACCTCCAGGGATCCTGCACCATCCACACAGCTTCCTCAGAGCCACAGGGGCGGCCAGCAGCAACACCCATGGAAGCCACAATATGGATATTCCAGAGAGATTTGATTAAATATGACTCTTGGTGTGATCAGAAATGGAGGTGTCATTGTGTGCGAGGAGCGAGAGGACGCTGGTCACTGGTGCCATTGTTGAGGCACTGAAGGTGCCCCCTTCAACCTTCCACCCTCCGCTTTGTCCGTCCGCGTCTGTCCGTCCGTCAGTCCATCTGTCTGTCTGGTCGCTCATCTGCCCACCTGCATCCACACCCTCCTCCCCTTCCCGTCTTACTCCGTCTACTTATACATCCGTCTGCTGCCTGCCTGCTCGTGCATCCGTCCACTAACTTTGGACGCCTTAGCAAAACACAATTGCAGTAGGAACACTGAAACTTTGTGACAGATTTTGTTTAAAGTCAGGTTTAGATCAGTCTAAGATTTATTTTCATACTATGGAAGACAAAATATTATAGTATATATATATATATATATATATATATATATATATATATATATATATATATATATATATATATATATATATATATATATATATATATATATAAGAGAGAGAGAGAGAGAGAGAGAGAGAGAGAGAGAGAGGTACCAACTCTGAAACTGGACTGGGGACCCTCATCCTAAGAGAAAATAAACTTACTTCAGGGAAAACTCGAGACTTCCCGGAGCTGTTTGAATATTTTCTTCTACCACCCCCTACATTTTATATTCTATGTAAACTTTGTTTAAACACAAAATACATTAACAAAAATACAACAGGAAGTAGAACAACATACAAGACATATCAGAGCCTACATCTCAAATACTTCATCCAGCTCCCTTGCAGTCGGCCGCATGCCCAGAATGTTGCAGGCATTTCCCCTCTGGATCGTGACACTGAGTCTCGGAAATAGGAAGCTGGCCGCTCTGTGATCCTTGGTTTGTGTGATGAGTTTTTCTCCCAGCTCTTTGAGGAACTTCAGAGCACACTTGTTCCATGCTCCTAGGGTCCCCGACCCTACTGGGATGAAGTTATAGCAACTGGGAAGGCCGTCATATTTGCGGATCTTCTAGGTCTCCCTGTAACTGGCGGCGCCACCCCCCTTCAACTTCAGAGTATGACAAGTAGGTGTCCGCCAGCGTGGTAGCACAGGTATAGCCCCAGGCAATCTGATTACTATTCTTCCAGGGTAGCATAGTGGCTCCATCTGGACGTTTTTGACTTTCGTCAGACCTCCATACTTCGGGTTCCCGTTGAGCTGGGCAACGGGCTATGGCGAAACTTCTCATTATGATGGCGTTGCCCTCCTGTCTAACATACTTCCCTTCTGATGTATGACACACGAGACCATGAAGTCCAAACTGATCAGCCGACGCCATGCCGCAAATACATCTATGTTCAGCGAGTACGGGGGCAGTTAGGCGAAGAGTAACACCAATCCGAATGACCTGTGGGTCGAGTGGGGTGCCCAGGGAGGAGTTGGAAACGATATTTTATATATATATATATATATATATATATATATATATATTATAATATATATATATATATATACATATATACATATATACATATATACATATATACATATATACATACATACATACATACATACATACATACATACATACATACATACATACATACATACATACATGCATACATGCATACATGCATACATACACAGACACACACTGACAAGATGGTGAATAAGACATTTTTATTACGTTCGTAGGAAGTGGTAAACCTGCAAAGGTCCCGCAGCGCCTGGGGTAATGGAAGCATCCAGGCGTGATTTGAGAAGCTGAAGCACAGATCCACTTCCTTAGATCAAGAGGCCCTGAACAGTATCAAGGAACCTTCCTTCAGGAGTACAGTAAGAGAGGTTACAGTGCTATGTACTCACCTTGAGAGAGTACAGTAAAAGTGGTTACAGTGCTTTGTACTCACCTTTAGAGAGTACAAAGAGGTTACAGTGCTATGTACTCACCTTTAGGGAGTACAATAAAAGGGGTTACAGTGCTATGTACTCACCTTGTGGGAGTACATTAAGAGTGGTTACAGTGCTATGTACTCACCTTGAGAGTACAGTGCTATGTACTCACCTTTGGGTTCGTCACTGTTGGAGTTAGGAGTGTCGGTGTCCCGGGCGTGACCTGGGGACTCCCGTGACCCGTGTGATCCGCGGGGAGACGGCGAGTCCCGCCTCTCCTCCAACACCCCCATGCTGCCGCCCCCGCCACCGCCCCCGCCCCCGCCACCCGTCAGGAAGGCGGTGCGGGGATCGAGGGAGGCCAGGAGGGCGGGGGAGAAGAGTCCAGAGGAAGAGCAGGGGATGGCGGAGCTGGAACAACCTCCGTCCTCCATCTTGGCAGTCTTGGCCGGCAGCGGGGAGAAGGCTGACCCGGAAAGGCTGGCCGTGGGCGGCGGGGGCAGCTTGTTGTGGGCGTCGTGGGCGCGGGCGTGGGCTTCGTGGGCGTGGGAATGGAGCGGGTGGAAGGCGGAGGGTGAGAAGGGGAGCCGGGGGTCAAGGTGTGGGTGGAGGAAGGGAGGGGCGGTGAAGGGAAGGAGGGGCAGGTGAGGGTAGTCAGTGAGGGGACGCAGTAGGGACGTAGCACTGCTGCCATCCTTGACGCTCTCACTCGCCTGTCAGGGGCACAACACACTTTCATTATCATTATCATGCATGTGCTTCTAGTGACAGCAGACTGAGAATCGAACCTTTAACAATCCCTCTACGAAATAACTCGCAAGTTATACCTTACCAAGGAGCTCTCTGTGACCCCTGCGGAATTAGCGCTCCCCATTAATAATGAAAAAATATTAATAATAAATAATTATATTCATTTATGATAGGGTAAACCCGTGTGGGAGTCATTCAGCACAGAAAGGCTCGATCCTCAGTCCGCTCATCACAGCTGGCCAGCTAGCTAGCTCTCCTGCCATTAAGAAACTATTAGATCTCATATGAGTTATTTCTATCAAGAATAAATACGCTAATAGAATTAATAACAAATTGCTAATATTACTTCAGCCACAAATAATAATAAAATAATATTATTTCAGTGACAAATATTACAAATATTACTTTAGCTAGAAACATTATTTAAACTAGAAATATGATGATCTCAGTTAAATATTTCATTATATCAGCTAAAAATAATAATAATATCAGTTACAAATAACAGAAATATTTCACTTAAAAATATCATTATTATTTCAGCTACAAATGTAAAATCAGAACACTTATTTTAAGTGAACATTAAATCAGCGGGATGATGTAGAGTACAACATAGCTCATCTTAAAATAAAATAATAACTAATAACTCGCAACATAACCAATTCAATATGCTAACTGGACTATGTCTGAGCCCGTCTCTCAAGTCACCAGGGATAACTGTACGGTGAGGATCAAAACGTCGCTCGGTTTCATTGTGTAAGTTACTTGTGAACTGTTGCAGCCACGGTGTTGTGGTGTTTATTATACTGGAGTATTAAAGGCTCAGGAGGTTCTAATGGAGGATTTAAAGCTAGGGACTAGCACCAGGAGGTTCTACTGGTCTATTTAAGTTAAGAGCCTACTCCCAAGAGGCTCTACTGGACTATTTAAGTCAGGGTCTAGCCTCAGGTTCTACTAAACTACTCAAGGGTAATACTGAAGCATTTAAGGTTAGGGACTAACCTCAGGAAGTTGTAGTGACATATTTAAGACTAGGGGACCACGCTCACTAGGCTGTACTAGAGTATGAAAAAGGCAAGGGTTGAGGTTGAGGGTACCTGCGTGTGTAGGGCGTGGTGTAGACGTAATGGGTCGTGTAGGGACACCCCCTGCGTCAGCCCCAGCAGGCCAGCCCTCACGAACCCCCCACCACCGTCCATCTGTAGGGGAAGAGGAAGAAACATCAACTGTCGTCACGCTGCTAAATCGATCCCTCGAACACCTATGAGCAAAAAATTACATATTAAATTTGGTCAACATTTACTTCAACCGCTTTACGAAGCTCAGTCATTCAGTTATCATAGAAGCAACATATCCAAAACCAGGCACAAATATTTTAAGCACGTTCTTATTTTAGGAGATGTTAGCCACACAAACTATGCAAGTCTTAAAAATTTAGGGAAAAAAATTCAAATGTTTAAAAAGTTTCTTAAAAATAAGAGGATTATTTTATCTTTGAAAGAAATACAAAAATACGCCCCTTTTTATTATTTTTTAACCCGAGGAAGATTGTACGTGGTTTATCATGCGCCCGACCAGTCAGCGCTAGCGTTCACCTCACGTCGTTCCTGTAATATTCTTTTTAAAAACAACGTATGCCATATTAATGATTACCACGTGTAAATTACGTGAATTTACCTTTTACGACGTGATTCGCAGAGCCTGTGAACGAGACGAGTGTTTTCAACATGGCGGAATGGCTGACTGACTGAACCATAATTATTTATCAGGTTATATTGTTTAGATTTAGTTACGTTGTGCTAATTAGTGGGACTTTGTAAATGGTCCAAGTCGGACTGAAACGTCGTTGTAAGCTTCCCACTCCTATGTGCGGGTTATTTGTTTATTAGATTGGGTTGGGTTGGGTTACGTTGGGGTGGGTTAAAAACCAACCAAACCAATTCTAACTTAATGTAACAACCTACAATACAAAAACAATGCTTTTTCTTAAAAATCCCCCCTCCCTCAAAAAAAAAAAAAAAATTCCATTACAAAACATGCTTAATATTATACACTGGTGACTGTATATTATCACCAACTTCGCCAAGCAACTGAAGTACCGACCTTAGGTTTATACGTATATTGGATATTCTCTAGGCAACAGTTGGTTGCGACTTATTAAAATCCCGTGGCAAATAAACACGCAAGGGGCCACACAGCGCCTGGGGAAATTGTAGAAAGTCAGGTTTGTTCCAAAAGTGAAAACAGCTCTATTGCTCTAGCTCAAGAGTCCTTCACCGGCATACATACACTTCCCTGGAAAAGCACAACATGGTAACTCATGCATGCGCACCTCTAACATGCGTATAATAATGCGGCAGTGTGTGGCGGGCTCTCGTTCACTGTATTTACATTTCTGACACCTATTTTGTAGCTACGGGAGCAGAACTACGCTCATGATGTTCCGCCTTCGGTAATTTTCTTACCTGTAGTCGCTGGCTAGGGGGTCACCGCCCGGGTGGCCCGGTCCCAGACGGTTGCTGGCCTAATCGATCTGGTTGTTGGTAACCGCCGCCCGCAATCCGACGTATGCGCTACAGCCCGACTGACCACATTATTGTTTTAAAATTCAAATGGTTGAAGCCTTTATTGCATCCTATAGTAATTCACTCCGTTGATCTACAACTCTCTGAAGAAAAATTTCTTAGTTTCCTTTCCACCTTCGCCTTATTTTTCAACTAGGACCTTGTGTTTTTCCCCTGACGCTAGTTCGAAAAAATCTTCTTTTATCTAGTCTTTCATGTCGTTTTATGACCTTGTATGTGGTTATCATGTCACCTCTCTCTTATCAACCAGCGTGGCCGTCTTCAGTGCTTCCAGCCTTTCATAACTAATATACTGTGTGTAGGCAAAGAGTTCAAAGAACCGACAGGTTGATAAATTAGACATGTGCAGAAATTTGGTATCTTTGTTGAAACATTTCTCCACACAGTGGCTTCATCAGTTTAATACAAAGAAGAATGGTGAAGATCAGGAGTTTGAGGTAATGAGTCCCTCAGCCTGGCGTCGATGAAATTAGTCTGATTACTTCAAACTCCTCCTGATCTTCACCATTCTTCTTTGCACTGGACTGATGAAGGCACTGTATCCCGAAATGTTTCCACAATAGATGCCCAAGTGTTGATTTACCCACAGTGTGTAAAGTGTGGGCACCACACCACCGCCGCTGCGTATTCCAATATTCATCTAATGTTCTGTTATCAACAGTTTTTTTTTCTTTATCCACATATTTAAAAATTATTTTATAATTCACTATAGTGGCATGCGAGTTTTCCGAAAATTCATTTATATGATTTTCCGGTGATTTTTTTTTTTTTTTTTTTTGCTAAAGAAATGGATCTAGAACTTATTATTGTCACTCAACATTTCATCAAAGTTTGTATTCTTTATGAAGATTGAGTTCATTCTCTCCCATTTTTATTACATGGCATTTATTTACATTAAATTCAACTTTCTATCACTATTTACCTCATTCTTGAGGAGATTTATATTTTTATTATTTACTGTATATATTTTTCCATCTGCAAAAATATTCATATATTCCTTCTGGTAAATTATTTATATAAATTAAAAACACTGCTGGGGCGAGTATAGACGCTTGGGGGACCCCACTTGTGACATCTCCCTACAATGACATCTCCCTAAGATGACATCTCCTCTTCTAACTGTTCGTATTTTTCTCTCAAACAAAAATTCTCTCATACAGTGTAATAAGTTACCTTTTGTTTCCCCTACGTTTTGAAGTTTCCAAAGTATTATCTCATGGCAGAAATGGATTTTAAAACTCTGAAAATCTAGATAAATATAATCTGCCCATCCCTCTCGTTAGTAAACAATTTTTGTGACTAAACAGTTTCTCTGACTATCATAATAGTTTAATAGTTTACTCGTCAGTAGGTTGTTCTTCTCCAAGTGTTTTACTCTTCTATATATATATATATATATATATATATATATATATATATATATATATATATATATATATATATATATATATATATATATATTTCAATATTTTTACATCGACACAATTTTACTGGCCTATTGTTATCTTCTTTGAAATATCGGCAGAACGTGTGCCATCTTCCACATTCTGAATCTTGTTTAATATCTGGTACATTTCTTCCTCATCATCAGTGACTTGTGTTGCCATCCATAATTCTTTGTGTTCTATATCTTCAACATTTAGTTTAATTCTAAACATGCTTAAAAAAAATGATACCAATTTGCTTTTGCCTCTTTGCTTTTCAAAGTTCCTTTCTTCCTCCCTTCTTACCAGTATGTATTCATTTCTGGCTTTTTTTTTATAAGTCTCTGATACTTATCTACATTGGTTCGCTTCCTATACTGTTTCCATGTCCTTTTTTTTATATTTTTCAAAGTTCTTCAAAACCTCTCATTGAACTACTCTTTACATTTCTTCTTTTATCCATTTGTGAAATAAACTGCTAAATACCAGTTTCATAAACACTGTAGAACTCTCTGTATACATTATTTATATCTGTCCCTTGTCAAATTATATGCTATACACATTCTCTGAAACATTATCTTAACACATCTTACACCCCGATACTCTTCTCACCCTCTTTCAGCCTCATCCACCCCTCATCCCTTCACCCCTAACCCCCACCCACCCTAACCCCCCTCATCAAGCATTGCTGTTTCTTATAGTCCATTCGTTCTAGTACGTGTCATTTTTTCTTAACTATAGTCATATTAAACAGCATATATTAATTCAAACAAGAACATCTGTTTCAAGTGGGTTAACACAGTTTCTGTTGAAAATTTCTTCGTTTGGAATAAATACCAGGTCAAGTATAGAAACTGTTACCATCTCTCCTTCGTGTCATATCATTTATATATATATGCTGATGTATAAAAAAAAATATCCACGTTAAGGAACTCGGTTGACCATTTGTTTACAGTTCCAGCCTCACAAACTGCCGAATTTATTTCTTCATAGTTGAAATCTGAAAAGGCTATAACTTTCTTATTACCTCTTTGTGAATGGTTTGATATATACACCTTCAGCTATATACAGAGACACACACATACCTGTGTGTACTCGCCTATTTGTGGTTACAGGAGTCGAGTCTCTGTTCCTGGCCCCTCCTCTTCGCTGGCTGTTACTGGGTTCATTCTCTCCTAGCTTCGAGAGCCCTACCGTACCTCTTCTTAAAGCTATGTATGGATCCTGCCTCTTCCACGCCTCTGTCCAGGTCGTTCCACTTCCTGACTACTTAAAGACTGAAGAAATACTTCCTAACATCCCTGTCACTCATCTGTGTTATCAACTTCCAGCTGTGCTCTCGTGCTGTTTCCAATCTCTCAAACAATCTGTCCCTAGCCACGATATCAATTCCTCTCAGTATTTTGTACGTTATCATATTACCCCTGGCCCTTCCGAGTAATGTCCTCTATGTGTGTGGGGGGGGAGGGTCAGGAGGACTCTTAGGTCATACATGATCTTTCATACATTTTCATCTCATCCTCATCCGAATGTTTGTTTTGCAGCGTTTTTACAGACAACAGTGTATGGTGTATATTTACCGAGCCTGTGTTACCCCAGGAGAACATCCTCCTCGTTTATGCAGTTTTTGTTAGGTTAGGCTTGGTTAATTATGTTAATTTATGCTAAAGTAACCTATCCCAACGTAAGCAGGGAAGACGTTGTCTCATTATAACAGCGGCTGTGTAAACAAAGAAATTGAAACGTCGGTAAACGAATGCGTTAATCACTTGCAGTGGGCTGACCATAGCATGTTTAGAGCAGACGGTGTCTTTTGCCTAGGTACGAAAACTAATGTTGGTATCAGGGAAGTTTGCCGCTGAGTACAAAGGCGGGATGACCACAAGCCCATTCTCTCTCACCACAGGTAACATGCGCGCACATGTGAACGTTCCTTAGTGCTGCTCACACATCGGGTTCTCAACAGTAGCTAGGGAGTTATTTAATTTGTTAATTAGTGGCTAGATATACGCTTCTGTATATGTAAGTTAACCTAAAAAAAGTAACTTAACTTAACCCACCCTAATTTTGTTCTAAATAAATAAAATCATACTATTAAGTTTGCAAAGAACGTTAAAAAACTGGCGTTGCTATTTACGCAAGAAAACGGTAAAGTGATGATAGAAGGCTCTGGTGGCTAAAGCTCTCGCT